TGGCAGGGCAGAAGCGGTGCGGGGAGGCAGGGGGACCGTGCCGGGAGGCGGCATGTGCCTGCGGACACGTTTGTGGGGTGTCGCCGTGACCTCCTCCCCCGAGCCAGCCCGTGCCTGAGTGTCCCCAGCCCCAGGGTCCTCGTGCGCTGAGGCCGCGTGGCCCTCCGAGGTGCCCCGCGCAGAGGCCGGGGTGCTCGGGCAGCTGGTAGCGAACTCCTGCCGGAGGCGCCCCCAAAGCTCTCCCTTCACTGCCCCGCGGGGCTCCGTGCGCTAAAGCCCAGAGGTCTCCGGGATTGTTTCCTTTGCTTTTGGTAACAAGCGTTGGAGGAAATCTTAGTATGGCCCTTAAAGCTGCCTTTTTTTTTTTTTTCCCCCTCACAGGAACGGAACAAGGATGTTGAAACTTTGCCCAAGTGGATTATTTTTTTTTTCTCTGTAAATGAGGCAGGATTTGCCAGCGTGTGTGTTCAGGATGTAAATTATTCCTGAATGCTTTCCAGGTCTCCCGCAGACTCCCAATGGGAAGACAGGAGATCCCTTTTGACTGAGAGATGGTTGAAGTGCTGGAGTGGGGAGTCAGCCTGACCTCTGCTTGCAGGGCCGGGGGTGCGAGAGGGCAGATCTGACGTGACCGCAAAGGTGCTTCATGCGGGGAAGGCTGGTAGCAAACCTGAGAATGTGCTTTTGGAGGCAGCTGTTGAATGGCTCCTTTGGGCCACCTGCTTTGCTGGCCAAACCTACTTCCTTGGCCTCACTGTTCAGAAAGTTCTGGCTGTACCGCTGCAAACAGAGAAGTGTAGTTAGTATGCCTTGCACACAAGTATCTCTTTGCACCAGTTCTTTGGCTTTCCTTTGTTAAAGGCATAGGGAACTCAAAAGCCCTTCGGGACGAAAGGGAAACTTCCTTTGAGGTGATCCAAGCCTCCTGTCAAACTATCTGAAGATTTCTAGCAGCTTTGTCCCAGGTTGTTTTTGAGGCAGGAGCCAGGAGCAGCACAAGGCCCTATTCCTTGCTGTGGGAAGGAGCATTATCATGTGCACCACAGCAGATCCTGCTGTCCTCACTGAATCCTAATGTGGCTGCTGGGCACACTCATTAATCCTTTCCTTTTACACAGGGAACTAAGCAAGCCACTGAGGAGGATGAAACACTTCTGAGGAGCTCCCCTGAGCAGGATTTCTGTTTCCTTGGGTCCTGCTTAATTAAGGGTAACTGAGGGTAACTGAACAAAGGGTATTTCATTTGAGCAACTCTTTCTTAAGAAGAAAGAGGAGTAATTGACCCTCGGTTTTCACATGTCTCCCAAAAGACCTGCCGCAGCAGGGCGGATTTCCAGACGTGAACATCAATGGGAACCGTAGGTGCTTGGTGCTTCTCCAAATTGGGTCACTGTCACCGTTTTCCCCCAAGCGAAACAAGGACCCTGTGGCAAATGTTTAAACCCACCATGCTAGCAGAGAAAGCTCAGCATTAGTGGTTGGAAGTTTAGGGTTCCTTTTTGGAAACAGATAGAGGGAATAAGGTTTTCCAGTGGACTAAAGACTTTAGCAAGAAGAGGGAGCCTTGCTGTGAGGTCTGTTGGGTCGTTTGTCTTTTTAGCTGTCTCCAAAAGCACATCCTAGTTATCTGTGGTGTGCAGCCCATCAAGCTCTGGTTCAGTTGTGTTTCATCTCAGCTGTGTGTTGTATTACACTCTACTGCTTAAGGATACAGCCTCATCCCTCAGTGAAGCAACAGAAGGTTTAGTAGGGAATGTAGCCATGTATAAATCTCCATAAGAAAAGAGGTAGTCAGGAAAATGTAAACTGAGAAATTATTTGGTGCCTAATGAATTAATTGTGCATTTTGCTAGCACTTTCATTTACAAATCACTGAAGGCTCTACAAACAACTTTTCTTCTTCCACAATAGAAAATACTGTTAGTCATATTTTATAAGTTGGGCACCAGGAGAGGTTACAGAAAGTGAGAGAAATCTCTGGCCTAAGTATGATAAGCATCCAAGACGAGGTGTTAGGAGAACTGTCTGTGGACAGCTGCCTAGAGACAGCCACAGGTGTGACAGGGAAGGAGACTGCTTTCTTGGTGTGTGAGCTCATCTGCCTGGTTGTCCTCGTCCTTCTCTAGTGGTTTTCCTTAGGCAAGGTAGAACTGACAACAGCCCTTCATCTTATGCTCTTGATGCTGGATATAGAAGCAGGTTTCATGGTAGGATAAAAAGCAAAGGGAGATGCAGTCAGAGTGGATCAGAAGGAGAAGAAGAAAAGGAATGGATCTGAGAGATGGACCAAGGACTGCGTGTTATATGTGTGTTACAGAGAGTCATTGGTGGAGAAATCATGAGAGTTATATGTCCCTACTGGCATGTTGATATCAACATGTAAGGATGATGTGTTGAAGATGTGTTTGTCTTCAAGACAAATGGATTCTCTGCAATGATCTGAAAGTGCTTTCCTCCTCTAGGAATTCATCACGGTTTTTTATTCCCAGAGTCTCCTTGGGGAGGATTTGAAACTAAGGTTTTGTGTGGAACAGTTCCTCCTCTCATTGCTTCACTCACTTGAACTAATTGGAGTGTTCATGGCACCCTTGTTACTGTGCCACCAGCTTCTTAAGCCTCACTAATTACTCAGGTCCATGTGAGATCTATCAAAACTGTTCTGAGCTTGAACATCAGGCAGATGGGAGGATGGACTAATGAGATTTGTGAGACTGCTGCCTTTGCAAAGTGGACAGAAGCAAGAAACTAAAGCTTTTCTTGGGGCACTCCAACAGCCAGCTGTCCATTGTGCATCTGTCCCATTATTTTATATACTACCTCGTAAAAAAGTGTTTCCTCCTGAGCCACCTTGTCCTCTCATTCAAGGCTTACTTTTACACGTGTTTTCTTCAGGTGCATTGTGAAGGTCCCTCACATAGAGTGTTTTCTTCTTTTCCGCTAGGATGTGGACAGGTTCTTCGGGCTTCTAAAGGCCAGATTTTACTGGAGAGTTACCCACTGAATGCACGATGTGAATGGATTATTCATGTTCAAGCTGGATTTAATGTTGAGTTAAGGTAGGTCTTAGTGGCTTTTAGTCAACACTACTTTCAGGTTTACACTGGGACATGTGGATAACCAAAGAGTCTCAAGAAGGGTAAGCTGCTGGGGTCTCTGTAGCAGTGAAAGCAGTGCCACCACTTTGCATATGGCCACACAGCTCTTCCTTCCAGCCTGGCCTGTAATGAGAACTGCTGCAGAAATTATCAATGCTCAGCTTTTGAGTCTTATTTAGGACACGCCTAGAGGCTAGGGGGAGGTTTTTCAGATATGGGGCACGATGCATCTCTCTAGTTCTCTTCTAGACCTTGGCACTAAAGCATCCAGCTTTCTAAATCATTAAGCTTTCTCAAGACTGTACCAGACTTAACTAAGACAGACTTTATGAAGACAACCTATAGGAACATTTTGATGTGATGTCTTATGCCAGGAGAGGGTTGCCTTTGAGGCCTGCCTTACATTTACCCTACATTTTCCCTCTTTGTTTCCTGTCACTCCTTTTACTAGGCCTATTCTTTATCAGTCTGTTATTCCTCTTCAATCTGTTCCTCTGCCTGGAGGATGTGACCATCTCTCCTTCAAGTCATTGCTCGACTGAGCTGTTTATATTTAGTCCTGTTAGCCCTCCCCTGCTGACTCAACCTCACAGTTCTTGAATAGCTTTCCTGTCAGTGGAAAGAGCTACTAGTTGGGGTAATTAATACTGTTTCCACATGCGTGTGGCAGGGAGCTCACACATGCAGCAGAAAGCTTGGCAGGGGATCAGGTTTAAAACCTACCAGCTAGTATAATAAGAACAAGAGCTAAAGTCTTCACATCAATATTTCACCAGCTTTGGAGCCCAGGCAAAGGAACAGTGCTAAATACACAAACATATTTCTTCCTGTATATTTAAAGAGAGACTTAATTTTTAATAAGAGGAAGAGAAATTAATTGAAGAGCAAAGAAAAAGCTTGTGGTGTTCCAAAGAAGCTAATGCTAGCGCTTTTATCAGACTTGGAAACACAAGCCTATTGTGTTGTTATAAGGAGCTGTAATTACTGCCTCGATAGCCTGTTGACTCTGGAGAATTGTGTACAAGTGAGAGATGCAGGGGAGCAGTGCTGTGGGGGGGGTGTTTGGCATTCTTATGGCACTACTGTGATGTGAGCTGTGCCTACCCTACTTCAAAAAGTGTGGTTGAATAGGAGCATACAGCACAAGCTCAGAGAAGTGATAACCCATAGTCTTTTACATTTATGTACATTTGTGGCCGTAAAAGTGCTTCAGGAGTTGCAGGTGTCACGATGTCTTTACTTTTAAAAGGATGGCAGTGAGAGTGGAAATGGACCCTGTGTGTGCAGATCACCAGTAAAATGCATCCATTTCTGGAGTAAAGAGAGGGCAGCTGGCTGACACTGGGCACAAGGGGCAGTAAGGGCAGGAAAGGCTATTTTAACAGAGGACACTAAAACAAACAACACTGCTCTCTATGAAATCCTTCATGACTTCATCAAGAAAACTGTCATTTGATCTTAAAGCAGAGGAGTGTGGAGTGCTGAGAGATGTACTCTATGGAGAGAAATAAGACCCACAGACCTCTATTCTATGGCCTGAAGGTCACCCACATGCAAACCAGAAAGATATTAATTAGCATCATGTGAAATCTGTGCACTTTGCTTGTTTTACCTTTGCTGTTACCAGAAGATGCAAAGCATTATATTTAACACAAAGGTTACCCTTATGAGAATGCCTTTCTCTTTTCTGCCCGTGGCCATCTTTCCTAGGGCTAGACTCAATACTAGGCATCTGCTTGTTGTAACACAGTGTTACACTCTTATCTGTGGAAGTCTCCAAGAGGGAAGTTGGAGGTACCAATCTGTGTGTGACTACAGTTACCTGAGCTGAGTAGTCAAAAATACAGGGTAGGAGAAGTGTAAAGCCCTGGCACAGAACCTGAGCTGAGCTTGGCTACTGGGTGCCTACAGATGCCAGCAGATGCCAGGGCATTTATAGGGCAATGGCTGCCCGCAGTTAGTGCTGCCTCCCTGCCCCAGAACAGAAGGCATAGGAGGAAGCCTTAAGGGTTTCCTTAAGGGTTTCCCAGAGCCCAAGGACCTATATGTGCCTAACATAAGGATGCTTATGTGAGATAGCCCAGCAGGTAGGTCCTGTGGCAGGTGATCCCTCTAGCTTGAAGCCTGTCCTTCAGGCGTTCCTACACGGAAAGGCAGGTACAACCGAAGGCTCCGCCAGAATGTTCCTCCATGGCCGAGTGCTTCCCTGCCTGTGCCTCTGCACAGAGCCACGGTTCCCTCCGCACCGAGCTCCGCTGCGCTGCAGCGCACGGCCCGTGTGCTGAGTCAGCGGCGCTGCCCACAAAAGAGCCCCTTTCTGCCTCCTGCCTGGGCGTCCCCACACATCCTGTGCGCAGCCGGTCTCAGGCTCCCGAGGGCAGGGCCCGGGGCAGTGCGGAGCGGAACGGGGACGGAGCGCTTTGTCTGCTTCCCTGCTTGCACGGGGCGGGAAGAATGCAACTCTCAGGAACACAGATAAATCTTCCCTTGCTTTGAGCTGTGCCATGCTGTCCTCTGGGGGCTGGCTCAGCCAAGCTGTTTTGATAAATGGTGCCCAGATTGTAGTGGTAGTTTGTTTTCCGTTCTTGTTTTTCTTTAGGTGGTAGTGCGTAGGCTCCCTCAGCCAGAGCCATGTCAGGGGTGCTGTACCACAGTAGAAGCAGCAAACAACTCACAATCACTTTCTCTAATTCAGCAGAAAGGCAGGTTTTTTTTCTTTTTTCTTTTTCCTTTTTGGTTAGAAATTTTGCTCAGAGGGGTTGTAGTGCATATTCATGCTCTAGACACTAACCAAATGAAAAACATAACCAAATAACAATACTTCATGCTCTTTTTTATATCTGACGACCGATAGCACTAAATCAACACTCTTAATTTCACAACATCCAAGAAAATGGTCACAGTTTCCCAGGTGAGGGACAGAAGTTCAATACATTCCTTATAACTGTGAGTGAAACAGCAATAGATCTTGTGGTCTGTAAAGGGTCCTCTGAACTAGGCCAAAGATGAGAGGATTTGAAAAGCCTTTGGCAGGTTTCCTGACCTGCTACTTCTAAGTCTTAATCATGGGATCCTGTGTAATCGTACGGTGTATCTGCTTCTACCCCAAGATAAATAAAATGCAAATCAGGGGACCCGCTATCCCCCCTCTGCCTTTCACAAGTTCTGCTATGTTCTCGTTATTTCTAAAGCAGAGAAAACAAAAGAGTCAAGAGCAGTATTGTGTATACTGATCTTTTGCTCTGTCTCGTCTTTATGTACCACCTCTCAATATGCTTTGTTCACCAACACATTGTTAGCAAGAGAGTTTCCCTCTACAATTACCAATAATGCAATTTGATATTAGCCCAATTCTGCCCTCCATTACGTGATGTGCTTCCCAGAAACATTCCCGGTGTACTTACTCACATGCTTAATTTTAACCAGAAATATAATAGTTCAAATACCAGTAAATATTTTTGGGATTTAATTAGCATAGCCTGTAGCCTGATAAGTGTGACAAAGATGAATGGGTTAATATGTCTAGCTGTTTAACTTCCAGAAGGGTAGATCCTTGGGGTTCAATCTGCCAGTGAAAGAATGTTTTGAAGATGTAGTGTATAAAATGAAGCCTGTGAGGACATCTCTGGGAAACCTGACAGAATTAGAATTCATTCTTCCTGACTTAGGCATTTATGCAAAGCTAAGTTGAATTAATCGCTTATGCATATTAGAAGCAGATGTCATTTGTTCCCATATCTACCTTCCACAGATGATGTTGAAAACCAGGGGCTGTGCTCTATTGGTGTTGATCCCTACGGCTGTTCATTTATTTAAACTTCATGTGATGCTCTAAAATTGACCCGAACAAAGGACCAAAGTAGAACCAAAGGACCAAAGTGACCAAAGGAACAAAGTGACCAGACCTCTTGGGAAAATTCACAAGTGGGAAGGAGGATCATTTGACTAACATGGGCCTTTCTTAGGATCTGATTCCCAAGAAGAGAAGGGCAGCAAATGAGTCCCCATACAAGAGTATTCATGCTTCTTCCGAGTGTGAGATCTGGTGGGAGATCCAAAATTTGGCTCTTCTCTAGGCGCACGTTGGAATTGCCTCACATTGTGTAGGCGATGTGGAAGATTTAACCTGATCCTAAAGGCACATAGCTTATGGAACTAGGAGTTGTAAATTGAGTAAAGTATAAGTTTCATTTCTAAAATGTTGTGTTGAACAGTTAGTCATATGGTGGCTCCCAGGTTCTGATCTTTTATTTCTTATCTTCTGCACCAAGGCTGGGCCAGGCTCCTCAGTTGTTGCTTGCTCCCCAAAGGCACTTGGTATTTCTCATTCTCTTTTTTTTCATTCATATTCTGGTGGAATGTTTTGGCTCTGTGCCACTGAATTCAAACAGCAGCAAATAACACTGCTGTTAACAAACAAGAGCTTTATGCAGTGGCTGGATCGAAGCAATGAAAGACAGACATTCTGGGAGAAGGCTTTAAATATTTCCTTTCTGAGTTAACTCTCGTCCCTTTTTCCTGGCACCCAAGAAAGTCGAGACCCAGTCATTGGAGATTTATCACCACTTGGTTTCCTAGTGTGAAATGTGCTGTGCTGTTTCTCTGCTTCCTTCTCTTACTGTCAGGTCTCTGAGCTTTCCTTGTACCTCTCATTGCAGGCTTGTGATCTTATTAGCGTAAATAGGTTTTGATCATTGGTCTTTGATAGTGTTACTTTCGTCACTTAGGACTTTTTTTAGGGGGAAACACCATTTTTTTTAGCAAATAGCTAGAATAGACATATGCCCCCTATGGCATCTGACCACAAATGAAATTTTTATCATTGTGAGGTGATTAGCAGCCTGATGAGTATGAGCAGACTGCATCATGCCACTTAAATGTGCCTGTGGAGCAACGCTGCAGAGCTGAGCTGGCTTCCCAGGATCAGGATGCAGAACATAAGATGAAGTGAGGGAGGCTTCATATTATCAAGGACTTGTTGATTCCCTGAGACAGGGGTGCTAATATAACTAAACAACCAAATAAATTAGAGGTAGGTTGCTCAGGTAAGGGTGTGCATTTTGACTGTGTCTCCTTCTTCTCCCAAGGTTTTCCATGCTGAGCCTTGAGTTCGATTACATGTGCCAGTATGATTATGTGGAGGTCCGTGATGGGGACAACTTGGACAGCAGGATAATTAAGAAATTCTGTGGAAATGAGAGACCGCCTCCTATCCGAAGCACTGGGTCTTCACTCCATGTCCTTTTCCAGTCGGATGGTTCCAAGAACTTTGATGGATTTCATGCTGTCTTTGAAGAAGTTACAGGTAAAATAATGCAGAAATGGAACATGCCACTCACAGTTGTTAATTCAGCCTCACTAATCTCTCTCCATTTTGTTTCATTAAAAACTTTCATGCTGTGTTGCCAACAGCAACTTGCACCAAGTCAGGGCAGGGAAGGTTCAAAAACCATCGGATGGCTTGTGAAAGTGAAGCTCTTTAACAAAGACCCAGCTCCCACTACCTCTGTGAAAAGCAGGCACATCGGCCGGCACAGAAAGGCTGCTGTTCTGTGAGACCTTTCTGTTTGAATCCAAGAACTAAGAGCACATGTGGAAGTAGAGGAAGGAGCATGTATATCTTTACACTGGGGAACTGCTCGATGCTGTGTGCAGGACCAGAGTCACTGTCTCAACAAGCAGAAACCTGATGCCCTGCCTCAGAGTTAGCTCAGTGAAAATGCCCTGACATACTTGCTGTTTTGTATCATTAGGGCTTTCAAAAAAAAAAAAAAAAAAAAAAGAAAAGGTGCAAGGGACAGATTCTTTAAGAGAAAAAAGAAGAGGCATTTCCCATTCTGTGGTGAGGAACTCCATGTTATGAAAGACGGAAGCAGGGCTCCAGGATTCCTTAGGTTTGTTAGTACTCAGTGCTTGGGTCTCTCCCATTGCTTTCTGTCTTTTCTTTCTGCCTGTAAACTAACACTTAAAGTGTGGTTGGCTCCTCATTTTGTCACTGCGTTTGAAGCAGCCTCTATGCTTTTCCTGGGTTTTCCTTGCTTAGCTATACAGGGAGTTTTGGTGAAATCTATCCACATTACTCCTGGCACAGAAGGCTAATCAGAGCATGCTGCTTTGCCATTAATAAACCCTGCTGGATCTGTGCCTTGTCATTACTCGCCTTACATACACCCTGGTGACCTGCATTTCTTGAGGTCATCCAAGGTATATCTGGCTCAGGAAGTTTAGTTGGTTTATATAATCTTTGTATAAATACACAAGCCCCCGTGGGATCAGCCCTAGTGCTGGTGTTGGGGCTGTAGCTAGCAGTGTGGGACGGGCACAGCTCTGCGTGCAGAGCATCCGCAGGGCTGTGTCATCCCGCAGCCTGGGCTCGCTGCCGAAGGACTTGCCTGTGCTCGTGGGACTAACCTTTCCCACACGGTGCAAGCTGATGTGGTTCTGTTTGCTCTGCCCGGCAGGGGAAACTTAGCATTCGGGTGCTGTTGAGCACTTATTTCCGGTAATTATTTTGAGGCTGGGTGGCTGCAAGTGTGGTAGTCCACGCGGAGCGCGCTGCAAAGGGCTCGGAGCCTGCGAGGGGCCTCACTGTGTGCTTTATTATGGAGCTGTCCTGGCCTGGTGTGTCACTGCAGTGAAAGGCTTTGAAAACACTTCCAGTGTCTCCTCCTGTGAAGCATTATCTGGCCAGCAGGACAGTTTAGGGAAGAATACAGCATGCATGAGGCAGTGTGGCACTGAAAGCGTTGGCAGCGCTTTGCAAACTGAAGAGTTTTCTCTGAAATTCCCTTCTGTAGAGGCCTGTGAGAAGCTGAGGTCTCTGGAACAGGTCGAATGAGACTTGCCAGAGCAGTCCTCTGCGGTGCAGGCGGGAGCAGCAGCAGCAGCGTTGGTGCTCGCAGGGTGCGGGCCAGGCCATGGAGCTGCCCTGACGTCCCCAGCATCTTGGCAGGGTGATGGAGAGGACTGGAGAAGTGGCTGGTGCTGTCAGGGCTGAATGCCTTCCCTGTCTGCCTTTCCTCAGAGCTCTGCACTGGCTTACGAGTCTGACGAAGCAGTAGCACTGGGTGGGCAGAGGTGACCAGTTCAAGCACCAGAAAGGCTTAAATTAATAAAAAATCAGCTGCGAGGCCTAACACCCGCTTTGTGAAAGGCCACTGCATGTCTAGCCAAAGGAAGACACCTCCCAGCCTGCTGGGCTGCCTGTCTGGAAGCAGATGTTAGGCCCGTGAGCTCTGCCACCCGTCCCAGGCCAAGTGTGGGGCTGGCGTGAGCAACTGCTGCTTCACTTTCTCAATAATACTTTAAGTTAGAGAGACACAGTACAATTGCCACATAGACATTCCATTTCAGGAAATAATGCAGTACTTTCCAGGAAGGAATTGCTGTCCTTAGTTGTTCCTGAAAGATTTCCATTGCCCAGCTAGCATCTTTTGAGTACAGAACCCTGAGGACTGGTTGCTCCCAGGTGGAAAACTCAGTGGTTGGGGGAAAGATTCCTGTTTCTGTTGTGTGGAAGGACAAAGATGAAAGAGTCTTTCATTAAGAAATTCGGATGATGTCTTTGTAACAATGATGATTGCAGATTTTAAGCATTATTATCAAATTATCAAGCATATTTGGATAGTTATTGATGTTGAGAATTATGTTTTTATTAAGGTGGATTTGAAGCAGAGGATCAGATCCAGAGTTTGTCAGATGTTTGACTTATTCAAATCTTAAATTGGGTTTAAATTTTGTGATTTGGTTTCCTTTCTGTGTGTTAAGACCCATTTTTAGTTTGGAAAGTAATGTAGGTTAAGATTACTAATGTGCTAGTCCCTCATCAGAATTGGCACAAAAATTTATGTGTTATTATATGATGGAATTTGCTCATATTAAACAGAGCAACTACACGTTCTGATACTCCTTTATGCTAATATATCCAAGTTGATTCATATCACTGCTAAATTTGTGGTGTGCTGGAACTTCCCCTGATAGTTCAGGATAATCATTCAGGGCTTCCTGAGCGTGGCAGCGAAGCTGTGTTCCTCAGAGGCAGAACAGCTCACAACCCAAAACAAAAAAACAAACAAAAAATCAGGCAACTTTTAACTCGGATACATAACTTACCCCAAGACAAAACCATCATTAAGAAAAGTCAATAAGAACATATGTGACCATGAATGTCCTTGTTTTTCTTTTGTAGCTTGTTCTTCATCTCCGTGTCTTCACGATGGAACCTGCATTCTAGACAAAAGTGGAGCCTACAAATGTGCCTGTTTGGCCGGCTATACAGGAACTCGCTGTGAAAACTGTGAGTACAGGCACTGTGTGCATGGACTGCCTCCAGTGTTGTCAGTGATTCAGGCCACTGAGTGTTAGGAGTGTCATGTGTATGTAGTTCCAGTCAATCGCGGTATGATGCACTGAGATTCTTGTGGCATTTTTGCAGACACAGTGCTTGCAGTTTATGTAGGTTGCCACTGAAGAGCTCTGGGGCTTTGTATCCGTGTGCAGAAGGGCAAAAAATGAATTGGAGCTGGGAAACAGCACACAAGAAAACTTGTAACTAGCCTTATCAGGAGAGGGATATACCTCTCTGCTCCTTTGCATTGTGTGAATCAGCCCTTCTCTTCTAACAGCACATACCTCAGCTGAGCCCTGTGTCGGTGCTTTAGCCAGAGTCGGTGTTAGGAAGTTTGTCTTCTCTCACAGCCACCTGAAAAGCAGAGCACTGACACTCATGAATGACAGAGAGATTGAGGTCAGGCCAAAAAGAAAACCGAAAACCAAAAAAGGTACAATCTGTTCTAATCTGCGCTGGTCCTCACTGTGTGTGTGGTCATACACCTGTTTTTGTCCTGACAGGGCAATTGTAAAGTAGCTGGATTCGTGAGATCAAACCAATTGTTTGTTCTAGCAATTTAATCCTTTGTGCTTTAGCAAATGTCTGTCTCTAACAGAGCTTGAAAGAGCGGGGAGGAATAAGAATTTTGCAATGCATGCTATGATAAAGGCTTCATCATCTCTAGTAGCTGAAAGGAGCAGTATACAATTTTATTGTCTCTGAGGCTAGACCTCCAGCTGGCCCTAAAGGATTTCAGTGACACTGGTGAAGTGCAGCTGGGCTGTACTTGGCCAAGCAGAAAGTGTGGCTTGCAGTGGCACAGCTGCGGCCATAAGGCGCAAGACGCCCTCTCTGCCTGCAGCGTTTTCAGTTCTGAGTCAGTGTATGCAATATGCACCAGCCCTCAGCAGTTCCAAATCTCTGCCTCTGTTGTGACATTCTCCAGGATGGATTTTTCTCTTGGAATTGCTTTTACTTCATCAAGGAGTTAGAGTGACTTGGTTCTTCCCAACTGTATTATTGTTGGGTCAAACTGCTCTAGATTTCTACAGATCCAGAACTAGCTGATAAGACTTGACTTTTTCTCTCAAAAGACCAGAGGAGAGGAGATTGTTACTCGTTTTCTGTAAGCCTGAAACAACTTGGGTTCAATCCATCTTTGCCAGATTGCATGGATTGCTCTGGTGTGTTTTTTCTAGGGAAGGAAGGGGTTGCAAATTGAGGGTTCCTGGCTTCAGAGCTGGCTGAGGGCTCAGGGATGGCTCGTCTGCCAACAGCAATTCAGGCTAGTTTTTTAACAGGTTGTTTAGGGACTGGAAACTCTTGACTCTTAAACTGTTTGCAACTGCTCGGTGAAATAGATGTTTCTGTCTTCAGACGAGAATCCAAAAAAAAAGAGAGAAGATAAAACACTCCTGCTTGATTCAGAAGAAACCTAAATTTCAGATTCATTAAGTTTCCAGAAAACATCAAATCCTAGTTTTGGCAGGTTCCACACTAGAATCAAGGCAAGAAATGAAGCTTGCCTTCTTTTGCTGCCTTTCTTTTGTAATTCCAAATAGAAATCTCACACATGCAACACACAAAGCAAATAATGGAGGATGTAGTGAAAAATGATAGGATGAGACTTCTGCCTTTGTATAAATGATGAAAACTATACTTAGTAACAGAACAAAGGTAGAAAATACACAAATATGTATATACTAAGATTTTTAACTTCTAACTAAGATATTTCCTTTAGTGTTGCCAAAACACATCCTAAGTATTTTCCAGGAAAGTGTTTAAGGGGAAAAATGCAGAAAATTAAAGTTTGATTTATTGTTGGAGAGCTGGAAGCAGAAAGAACTGGAAAAATATATGTGGCTGCAATTCTTTCAAAATTAGTTATGTAGTTTCCTGATCAGAATTGCAGTTTAAATGGGAGAGGGAGATCATGTCATGCTCAGCAGCTTTCTGTGTGTCAGATCTTGCAGCAACAGTGCTGTCTCTGCTGTGATATGTTGAGGGGAGCCAAGGGCAATAACTTAATTTCTTTGTAAGACATTTGCAGAGTAGTTATTTTGGAATATTGAATATGGGTTTGTAATACTGTGGGGCTGATTCTTTCAAGATGGTTTTCTTGGAACCAGTCAGGTGTAATCCCATTAAAGTCAATGGATTTATGTTGGTGAAAAATAGGTATCAGAGAGAAGAAAATTAGAGCACTTGGATGTTAAGTGGATATAAAAGATTTAAGGTGGTGCAACAGAAGGTATTCAGAGAGACGCAATAGCTTTGGCTAGAGAAATCAAAAAAGCACATTTCAGAAGAATGGGGATGATGGGATTGTCTCAGTGAGGAATAAGTTGAGGCCGGATAAAACAGGTTCACTGTGGACACTTAAGGACAGAATCAGAAAACTTGATGTCCCTCACCATGCCAGTGCAGTTGTGTCTTTTTGTCTGTTGCCAAGTCTAGTTTAACAATGTTGAACTGTGGGCATCACAATAGGAATTATGGAAATCACCTTAATGGGATAAACCTTAAGGAACTTTTTTTTTTCCTGTGTTAAACTAAATTCTATCTTTGTAACAGGATGGTCGACATTGGTCAAGCTGCTTTACTGGAGCAATATTCAACACTAATTGCTCTGCCAGTTGCAATTTGCGCTATTAATAAAATGATTAAAGGCACAGGTTACTTATAACCTGTGCTTTCTTTTCTCTTCTGCTAAAGCAGCCAAGAAGTGGCTTTTTTGTTTATAATTTGAGGGAATAATACAGTCATTTAAAGGCTTCAGTAGCATGAAGTGAAATGCAGATGCGTGTCTTTCTAATAGCTGTTAATAATTAAGTCAGTTATGCTTAAATATGAGAACTGCTTAATCTAGATATGTCTGATTTTACTCTAGCGATTGTCTTAAAAGATTTTTTGTATGAAATTGCAAAACAATTGCTAATCAAGAGAGCGAGATATTTCCTTCCTCTCTTGTAAGACAAACCACGTAGATCAGTAGCAAATACCTTTTACATATAAGCATGTTTTGTTATGATGATACAGTAAGCAGAGAAACCTAATTCCTAGCTAAGGCAATGGGATTTCTTTCTGCTGTGCATGGATTTGTGGGATGCCTGCATGCACCTTCCAGCAAACCATGCTCGCATGGCTGAGATCAGACTCAGGCTTTTCTGTGTGACCTCTATGGGTTGCAGTGCAAATAATCCTGCAAGCGAAGGCACGAGGAGTAACAAAAATTAGATCATCCTGTTCCCTTATCCTGGAGTACCCTGAAACTGAGCAGCACCTCCCTCCAAAGATGTGTGTTAAAGAGTAGAAGGTGACTAGGGGTGTGATCCTGGTGCTTGGCAGGCTGAGCTGCACCCGCTTGAGGCCAGCCCGCAGCGGTGCTTTGCGGCACGACGCGTTGGCCTCAGCCTGGGCCAGGCCCTTGCTGTGGTGCCCCAGAGAGGTGCTGGAGCGAGGGGGCCTCCCCACTCGTCCTGCCCTGGGACAGGCCATGGGGGTGCCCCTGCTCGCCCTGCCCTGGGACAGGCCGCGGGGGTGCTCCCGCTCGTCAGGCCGCGGGGCTGCTCCCGCTCGTCCTGCCCTGGGACAGGCCGTGCTCTCGCAGGAGTCCTCCCAGGGCCTGCTGGCCCCCGAGCAAGGACCTTGACCTCCTCCTGCCCCGAAACTTCCTGTCACCTTTATTTCGAACAAAGCCGGCAAACTGGAGCTCCTGCGCAAATAAGGGGATCTCGTGCTGAATGGGGAATTGAGGGCGCAGATCCGATTTCCATTTTCATTCTCTTTCTCGCTTCTGTTTGCCAAGAGAGAAAGGTTTGTTCTGCATCGTAATGAAGGGACTAATCCAGCTGACCGAGCTGTGTAGGCTGTGTCCTTGCTGTAGCCTTTGATGTTGGTGCTGGCCCCACCAGGTTCCCGGAGGCTTCTGAAAAGAGTTTCCAGGCTCTTCCCCGCTGCAGATCTTAACTCCCTTCCGTTCTGGGCTGCTTTGAGGGATGCCCTCCCCCCTAGCTGACTAACTGACATCTGGATAGGGAGAAAGCATTAACACTCCCCCACACCCTGCCTTTTCCTGCTATGGGAGAAGCGAGCCCAACTGTTAGTGCTTGCCATAGGTTAGGCAGTTTTAATCGTGTGTTTGGTACAGAGTTACAGCAGGGAAGCCGAGGTGTAACAAAATGCACAATTTCAGAACCCAATTCGTGCTGCCAAAACACACACATACCTAGAGCTGCTAAGAAGTAGATGCTAGTAGTGGCCTTTTATTCCACTCTGACAGTATGATGTTCCTCTGCCTTTACAGCCATGCAAAATCCTTTAACTGGGATGAGGCAGTTCTCGGGCACAGGGGACTCATTAGAGGCTGCAGGCTAAAGCCCAAACCCGCATCACTCTTTAGCCCGTGGTATGACGATGCTGTAGCATGAACGCAGACAACATGCTCTCGGGGGTTACCTGTTCTGCAAAACCTCCCTGTGAATCTCTCTTGGAGGAAACACAGAACAGTTGCTTGGTCTTGAGCGCGGGTACTCAGCTAAGCTGCTTGTTACGGGCCCAGCTACTGAGGAGAACAGTTAGTTATAGACAGGTTGAGATAATCCTGCAGGGAAGAAATGGCCACTGCAGTTGTACAGAAAGCTTTATTGGCCCATGTGTCTCTGCATAGCTGCCTAAGATTAGAGCACTGCAGGCCTCAGGAGATGGATTTAAAAAGTCACCTTCAGCCTTTCGTTCTGCTGGGATAATTATTCCCTCTTGTTCTCCTGAGCTGATCAGAAACTTGTGATGTTGGCTAGATGTTGCTACCGTGTTATGCATGTTGCCTCGTAGTGCAGTATGTTCCTTCCCAGGAGAATCATGTGTTTAAGGGGAAAGACCTGTGCTTAGCACATAGTTCTTGAGTTCAAAAGGCTGATCTTGAGATGATGGTAAAGATTTCTGCTCCCAGTTCTCTGTTCAGCGCC